TCCTCTCTTGCTGAAATCAGCATATATTTAAGATACGGCATCTGTGGACGCTTGTCCATATCGACCTTACGGAGGACAATATAAAGTGGTTCCACACCTTTTATGATTTCTACCGTAGTCTCCCAAAATCTAGAGGAAAGAATGGACTTTTCTATCTTCTTTCCATTGCTCAATTTCGAATATCTGGATTCAGACCACTCTTGTGAGGTAACCATTGCCTTCAAGCCATGCCTTTTTTGCTGTAATGACTTTAATGCAATAAAATTGGTAGCAAATCGAGTAATTCCAGGTCGAAGTATCTCACCGTTTACATACTTTTGCATTAAAGCGTGGACCCAATGATGATTATATATAAACTTTGTAATTGATTGTGCTCGAGCTACACATTTCTTGATCGCATCCAACTCACCAATATCCTTCAGCATTAGATCTATGCAATGAGCTGCACATGGAGTCCAAAACAAAGTTTTTCTTTTTTCCATCAATTGCAAACCGTCCTTTTTGAAATTCGTTCCATTGTCGATTATTATTTGAACAACATACTGTGGTCCAATCTCCTCTACCATAGTGTCTATCAAGCTCTCAATGTAGTTTACATCTTGGATCTTTTCAGAAGTATTAATGGACTTATGAAACACCACTCTTCTATTGCAATAAATAAGAAAGTTTATGATACTCATTCTTATTGATCCTGTCCAACTGTCACACATCAATGTCACCCTATATTCATCCCATTGCCTCTTGAAGGATTTGATCCAATCCTTTAGTTCTGCCACCTCCTCATCTAAGTACATGTCGTAAATCTCCTTCGGTGTTGGAGTGTTGGATCCCCGTGCCAGACTTTTGAATAGAAGAGACCATGCTCTGATAATATGGACCTTGGGCTATGTTGGCTGGAATCCTATGGAAGTTGAACCATTTTGAGATTGCCTTCCCAATATCCCATTTTTTTTCTTTTGTGTATGCATCGTCAATTCGTGTATGTTTCGCTATTTGTGGGGAATAGGCTTGCGGATCAATATCAACAATATCTGGTGCGGACCTCCTGCCAAGACCTCTTATAAAACTACGGAGTCTGCCATACCTCATGCTACTAGTTCGGCCTAACTGAGAAGGAGCAATTGGTTGCCTTATGCTGGTTGACCTCTGGATTCCACTACCACTGCGATACTCCAATTATGAGTCAGGTCGTCGATGCCTCATTGCTTCATCGACCGTATACTGATGCTCCAATGATACACGAATCCCAACTGTGAGATCCGGGTCGACTTGATCGTCGCAACCATTATACTGATCATAAACTGGTTCCTGTGTAGCCCTATGATATTCTTCCTCAACTCTTACCTTCTTTTTTAATGTATCTTCCTTTGTTTGTTTAAGCTTGTTTTGAAATAATTTACGGATCTCCGTTGGAATATTCTTGCATTTTGCAACATCAGGATACCCACAAGCCAAATGCATTTTCACCCGAGTTATTCCTCTACCCTTGCCAATGTAGTCACAATAAATACATTGCCAATGATAATGGTTTCCATCTATCTTTCGGGCATGAACCCTTGCATCATCATGTGGTTGTTCCTTTGGTACCATGATCCTACCAAATTTAAATCAAATAAACTATAAAGTATAAACATATTAAATTGATCAAATATCGATCATAAATCACTAATCGCAACATTAAATAATTTTATTAAAACATAACTAATCATATTTTATCATCATAAATATGTTACATGCACAAAAGAAGTATTAAAATTATTAGATACACTAATTATACGATTAACATAGTTAATTTTTCACTAATTACTTCTCTTTCAACACTATAAACATGACAAACACCCTAATAGGTATTAAAGATATTGGATTGACATAAAATCAAATAAATTTTGATTAAATCATCATTAAAATGACTAATTACAGTATTAGATAACTTTAATAAAACATAATTAAACTTATTTTATCATCATATATATGTCAAATACATAAAAAAACATTAAATATGTAATTTTAATCCAATATTATTCAAATTATGATAAAATCATCATTTATTTACACTAATTATACGATTAATATAGTTAATTTTTCACTAATTACTTCTCTTTTAACACTATAAACATGACAAATACCCTAATAGGTATTAAAGAAATTGAATTGATATAAAATCGAATAAATTTTGGTTAAATCATCATTAAAATGACTAATCGTAGTATTAAATAACTTTAATAAAACTTAATTAAACTTATTTTGCTATCATAAATATTATTCAATATTTAATATGCATTAAACACACTAATTATAATCTTAAAGATCTTAATTACTCTCTAATTAAGAAAAATGAATACATACCTCTTGATTAGAAAGTTCTTCCTCTTAATCTTCCTAAATTAGCCTCATTGAACTCACAAATCGAAAGTTGTTTTATAGAGTTTAGGAGAGAAAAAAAAAGTTTGAGCGAGAGTTTAAGAGAGTATAATGAAATAGGGGAGAGAAGAATGGCTTAAATAGAATGAGAAAGGGCACGGACAGTGCAATTCGGTATTGCAGACCTTGCCGAAATGTACTGCTCAATATACGTACAGTACTATACCGAGCAAATCTTGAAACTTCGGTATGGTACGAAATTTCAATCCTTGCGGTAGCTTGCATTTGTACTGTTCGAAGTGTAAATTGTATAAATGTGTGGCTCAATCAATTTGTTACTATTTGTGGGGTAATCTCACTGAAGCGACAAATAATTAGGGTAATATTTGCAACTGACCTGTTGCTTGGATATCCGCCACCATTCACAGTGTGTTCATTGCAAATATGATGCTTGTGATGGAAAAATAATCTGGTTGAAGAAGCATTTAGTCAATTTGAAATAGCCAACTACATGAACATACACCAAAAAATTGGATGAACTTTCATTGCAAAATTGGTTGTACAGAAAGCCCCAAGGATACATCAGAAAGCCCAAACACCAAAAAATTGGATGAACTTTCATTGCAAAATTGGTTGTACAGAAAGCCCCAAGGATACATCAGAAAGCCCAAAGGAAGGACTTCAAGATAAGAATACCCAAGTCACTCATCTATGATGAGTATTAGGGTCAACGACCAAGGAAGATTTTGATGAAAACCTGAGTTTGCAGTCAATGCTCATGTATTATTGGAGCATCATCACATGCATGAAATATGAGTTTGGCAATTATAGTTTTAACTTGCATATGGTTGGACGAGAACCAACTTATCCTAAACATATTGGTTGGTACTAAACCATATCTAGCTAGTATTGGCTTGTCCGAACCATATTGATCGGCATTGAACTATACCAACACATGGGATGGATTTAGACTGATTCTCTACTTGACCATCTGAGGACTAGTATTGATAGTTTGATACTGATATGGTACGGGCGGTATCATTGGAAACTGTATACCTTGATTGATACTGATATTTTAATCCTTGGATGTTGCTACCACTAATGAATCCATGTAGTTGGTAGTAGGACGAACTCCATGCACCGATAGGGCCATTTTCTTCCTGTTGTCAATGGCAGTCTTTCCCGCCTAGTCCATAAGTGTTAACTTCAAGATTGATTGTCCAAGAAAGAGAGGGAAGAACGTTCCGACCTAGTTCCGACCCGACAATGGGTAACATGTGTTGTCCTGAGAAGTCAAAGTTGGTTGAAGAGGAATGTTGGGGTTTGGATGTTGCCTGATCTCTTGATATGCCACCCGAGATCTCGTAGAAGATTGAAGTTAGGGGTAGCTCAACTCGGTGCCCCTGATGCCTAAGTCAGCAATATCCGATTTGTAGAGGAAATAAGAATGCAAAGGTAGAGAAAAAGGAATGAGAGAAAATCTATTATACCCGGGGCCTTATGGTTGTCGGCGATTTGAACAGTTAAGGCAGTTGTAGGGCTGGCACAACTGCCTGTTGAGATGGCAATTGAGGTCTCGTAACCCCTACTGATATGGCTCAACCACCTATCAAAGTGGCGTAACCTCCCCTGATGTGGCTCAACCACCTACCAACATGGTACAACTATCGGTCGAGGTAGCTCAACTGCCCCTACGCGGTTACATGTCGTAACTGTCTCGCTGCGGTGGTGGCCATCGTTGCTGAGGTAGTGGCCCTCTTTGCTGAGGTGGTGTCCATGTGTCGGTTTTGGAATGATCCATTTTGTCCTCTATATAATGTGTTTTTTATTCTTAAGTGGATCTTAATAGTCAAGGCATGGTACCATAAGGCTCAAATATGGCTTTGCAACTGGCCAAGCCAGGCTGGCTAGGGCCATAAGAAGCCCTATTTCTTCACATGAAGTTGTGTGTCATCCTTAGAATTAAAGTTGTCTTCAAAATCCTTTCTTGATATATGTGTTACTGTTTAACACATGTTGTCAGAGGCCTTGTATGGAATACAGATTCTAGGCTGTATTTCTAATATTGATAGGTATCAGTAGAATTCTTAGTAGATTTTTGGAGCGAAAACAATGGAAGTATTGAGGGATAACAGCAAACATGTTGTCATGAATTTTCTGCTCACCTGACCATTTGCCTATCTCAAGCTTTAAGTCAATGTTAGTACGACTCACATGAATTCTTGCTCATTTAGTGAATGCTGGTTCTCGTGTGCCAAAGACCAATTTCTCTGATAAGCAGCAGTAATATTCAGTCATTAACTGATCTCCTCGAGTTAAGTACTTGAGTACTTATAAATAACAAAGCCATGACAATGGCCTGTACAAGCAGGAAACTGGAAAATAGATGAATAAGCTTGAAATCTTTAACAAATTTGATTAACTACGTAATAATGTGAATTCTTAGTTTTCACATATACCGATATTGATGGTTGAACCTTGTGGTAACTTAACTTGTTGCAACTGGGCACTCATCTGCTTGTCAAATAAGTGCTACTTAACTTGGTACTTGGTGTGCTTCTAATGTCTTGCTTAAAATCTTTCATTAATTTTCATTTTTATATGAATGCCAATGACTGAATTATCTTATCTGGTTGTAGATGTGTTCTTGCATATGCTTCTGATCTTATCTTTGGTGGCATTAGCCTAAATCCTCATCGACGGAGGGGCTTGAAGATAGCATCTCTCAGTTTGGATCACTCGTATGTCTCAAAAACCTTAACCTTCTGCAAACCTTTTGCTTTTCGATTATTTTACTTATAAAGTGTATGATTAAATTTTTCCAAAAATTGCAAAAACTAACAAGTATATCTTCTGTCTTTATACTGTTAATTTTATTGTTTTGTAGACTTTGGTGCAAATAAGATACACATGACAAAAATGCCTTTGGAAAGGTCAAATAGCAATGTGTTAAGTAGCGAGTGGACCAATACATTTCAGCCAATATTAAAATGTACAGTTTGATACTAGTTCATATCATTTGTTAATTTTTTGATTATTTTAATCAACAAGACCAAATGATACAAGTCAATATATTGTCCAGCATAATGGTTCAATAGGTTACCAAAACTAGTATCAAATTGATAATTAAGTCCTTGACAAGTAGCATTATCACTATATCTGCTGATTTCTATCTGTGCTTACTGAATGAAAGCATAGATCAAGATATCAAGTAAACTGTAAGGTTTATTTGGTATTTATGTCTGCTCAATAGTTGGAGAAAATTATTAAAGAAAAGTTAAATATTTAAGTAATAAAATAATTGATAAACTGTTTTTTATTATACAAAAAATGAACACTATTAAATTTAATGTCATGCTCTAATTTCAATATAAATCACAAAACTATCATATTTTAAATAAAAAGGTATTTAATCTTTAACCAAGAGCTCTCTTAATTCATAAATAACAAGCTTTTCATAGTCATTATAATTTTTTGCAGATGTGTAATATATATTTTCATACTCGTATTCCGAAGGCCTGAGGTAATTCAGTTTGATTATCTTCCAAAACTAAGAGCTCTCTTAGTGCATGTTGTCTTTTCTTGGAGCTGATACCTTTTTGTTCCAACATGTGCTATGCATGTTCTAGCTGGCAAGCACAAATAAGCACTTACCTCAAGCCTTGGCAATCTTCTGTATATTTTTTGGATCAACCATGAATTGATGGTAGGAAAAAAAAAAGTGGTGTACGTTCTCCCTAGGGTAAAAAATAATTCTAAGATAAAGACTTATCAAAATAAACAATAGGAATGCATCAAGCCTTGGCAAAGTAGACACCGGAAGACCTTTAATATCAATGCCGAGGAGTGCTGTTGGTGCTCATACTATGTCTAGCATGTGCTGGCAAAACTAGACAGACCACACAATTTGTATGAGATCGACTTGTATGCTCAACATAATTAGGGACAATTATATAAGATGTGTGTTTTAAAATGTAGCATATGTGACTATAAACTGAATGCAATCTCCTAAATGCATTAGGATTTTCACATACTCATTATATCTCCCATGTGGCAAAACCAAACTGGCTATATTTGCACGAAAAATCGAATGTGTTGGCTGTGCTGACACAGGACACTGCCATTCTATGAGATTATTAAATTTTAGTGTTGGGCTGATGCAACCTATGCTTCTCAGCACAAACCTGTACCGAGTGCCAGCTCATACGAATTGGCACATCGTTGAGCATTACCATCATTATGGTGTGCTGAGAATCCAAAAACCTATGTTGAAGTATCACTTCATAAGTTCCTATCCTCCAACATTTGATCATCACTTTTATATAAAATAACAAATCATACTGATCATGTACAGTACCTACTGAAGATACAGCCTGAGGACAGCATAGTGCAAAATCATGCACCTAATATCAAAGCCAAATTGAAATTCAATAGTGTAGGACCTGATGAACTATATAAAATGGAATTAGATGATAACTCCATTAATGCTTATATATCTGTTTAGTATAAAGAATAAGTATTTCACAGATCTATTTGTGGTTGATGATTTCCAAATGGTTTGAAAGTTTAAATTTTTTATATTCCATTGGTGAACAACAATAATAACAAAACCGTAAAGTCCTAACTATTTGGAGTCAACAACTTGGATCTTTTGCCGCTAGTGTAAAGAAATGTTGAAGGATCAAATGACACAATTTCCAAGGCTCCATTCTGAAATATGATGTGAATGTGCCCTTTTACCAAGGATTTTAATTTCGATCGGTATGCGGTACATACCGGTCCGCTTGCATATCAGTATGCGGACTACTCGCTACCGGACGGTATTGTTGATCTAGCCCCGTATCGGGAGGTAACGGTCGATTTCAACTGTCGTCACCTGCTACTAAGCAGTATCAGCCTGGTTGCGACGAGGGAAGAAGCATCGAGAGAGAAGAGGGAGAAGGCACTCGAAGAACAGGGAGAATCGGGAGAACCTTGATGCTTCCCGATCTGGTGCCGCCCTCCCTCGATGATCTTGATCCAAGAGGTAATGGAGAGGTGGCGGTTGAGCTTCTTCTTCGTCGAAGGCCGGAGACGCCTGCGGCCTTTGCCGCGTTCTTTAGAGACATCTGCGGCCTTTGACATCTTCACCGAACGTTGCAAATGAGAAGACTGTCTTCTCCTCATCTGATGCGACGAGGAGAAGAAAAGGAGGTGACATTGTCGAGACAGCGTATGCCTCCTTTTTCTTACTTTTTATAGTATTTTTTATATTTTTATATTTTATATTATATATATATATCGAGCGGTACACCCTGGCATATCGCTTGGTATGCCCGTACCATGTCGTATCGAGCAAAGCTCGACATGCCGATATGGTACGAAATTAAGAATCTTGCCTTTTACCATGTATGTGTTAGGATCAAGAGCGGCACTAAGAGGGGGTGAATTAATGCAGTGGAAAATTCTTCGATTTCATAGAAAGTTCGTCTCGATTCAAATCGTTTCAGAAAGATGTTGAATTTAAAACTTTCGTAAGAATGTAAGAAGAAGCTCAAGGAGGTTTGTTGTAAAGTAAATTGCACAAAAGGAAAAGCAAACCAGAATTTAGAGTGGTTCAATCAACGAGACCTACATCCACTTCGGATTCCTCCTCCGTCGATGTCACCGACGCCACTAAAGGTCTTCCTTCAATAGGCGAAGACCAACCACTTTTTACAACTCTTTCTCCTTTTATCGGGTTTAGAAGATAACCCTTACAAGCCTCACTCATCTTTCTTGGATGTTTACAAAGCTAAGAGAGGGAGGAGAGGACTCTTTGCACTTTTACAACTCTTTTAATACCTCAAGAACTCAATATTATATCAACACTTTCGTGCCCTTTCATGCAGAAAAGGGTGGGATATTTATAGGCCCCAATGGTTCCAAAATTTGGAGCAAAAAATTCAAATCCTCGGATTTCAGAGTATTGGCGGTACCACCACCATTAATGGCGGTACCATCGCCTAACAGAGCTCGGAGACCGAGCTCTGGCGGTACCACCGCCTGACAGGGGCGGTACCACCGTTGGCAGCATTAATTGCCAGCGGTACCACCGCCCAGACCACCTAGGAGATTGGGTCTCCCAGGTGGTGCCACCGCCGGCTGGGCTTTCAAGTGCTGAATGGGCTGTTCAATCCGGCCTAATTTAGCCCTGTTAAGGGCCCAGTTGGCCCCTAGTTAAGTTAGTGGGATTACCTCCCAATCCTAACTCAATTTACGGACTAACTATAATAATTAAGACAATTGACAAAGCATTTTTATTTCGGTATATCAATAGCTCTTCTGGTGAGCTTCCGGCGATCTTCCGGTGAACTTCCAACTAACTCCCGGCATTGTTCCGGCGGACTCCCGGCAAGCTCCTGGACTTTATGACGATCTTCTTGGCAAGTTCCGACGAGCTTCTTTGGTAAGCTCTTGGACCTCTCGGTTGGTTACGACAGAACTTCCGACGAATGTCTGGACTTTCGACGAACTCTTGAACTCCTAACGAGATCTCGATCTTGGCTCCGGCATAACACTTGCTTTATGTCTTACTGCTATCGTAGTTAATCCTGTACGTTTTTCTCAACATATAGATTAGATCAAACAATTTACAATTGATTTCATCATCAAAATCCGAGATTCAACAGTATGAACAAAAGATATATCTCATTTCTATTTTTTGTTTTCTCCGTCTACACTTTTTTCTTTGAACAAGCAATATTTATCTAGTGGACATGTGAGGTATCACTTTTATTTGTAGATATCCAATAAAATTAGGGAGATATAGAGGTTTCGTTCAACTTAGTTTCAGGTTTTGGTCTTTCTGGATCCTTAACTTAAAAAGCGAAAGAATGTCGATATTGCACCCTAGAAGAAAACATCTTTCTTTGTTTCTTTTCTTTTTATTCTTTTAAAAAAGAGTATTTGGTAGCGCCATCATCTTTTTTTTTTCAGTTTTAATAATTATCACAAACCAAGGTCATAATAAGTGTGGTAATTGAAAAGTTGCATGCATGGTTCTTTCAATGTGTTGTAAGATAGAATTAGTCTGCTTAGGAAGCCTTACATGTCATTGTTTGCAGTATGCTGCATATACATTTTAGAAAGTAAAACATCCCATCAGAGACTCTCTCTCTTACCCCCTCTCACCTTGTGTTGTTTCAGAGAAAAATAAACATTGTCATAAAGATTCAACCTTTTCTTGACCAATGACCTTCATTTCAGGCTTAACAGTAGGGACCACCTGGTCTACATATATATTCTTTCTAATATGCTTTGGACCTAGAAAATTTTGAGGTGAACCTGTATTTTGTAGCATTAACTTTATGACAACTACTGCTCTATAATACTAGCAATCATAACCACTCATGAGAAGTTTGCTTTTTATCTTTGAGCAAGGACAACCAGTGTTTCTTTCGATGGACCTGCATAGATATAGGTGTTTCATGGTTTAACTACAGTTTTTGTCCTTAACTGGGAATAAAGGACACAAACTTCTGCATCAATTTCCTAGCTGGAGGAGAGCTTGCCCTCAATTGTCCAAGAGGAAAACCTTTTTGGCATGAAAATAAAGTCTACCAGTAAATAATCAAAAGCATTATCCAAAATAGAAGGAATACCTTACTTCTACCTATAAATAATCACAAGCATTATTCAAAACATTTTTTGCATGAATCTGTATGATGCCTATCTGTATGATATCTGTCTTCCTACTTTGGAGGGTTACTTCTTTCTAAAATGTTGAACTATCTTTTCTTTCTAGAATGTTGAACTATCTTTTCTTTCTTGAATGTTTAATTATCTTTTCTTTCTAGGATTTGGTTCCACAGGTCTGTAAGAGCTGATGATTGGTTATTATTTGTGGTAAGTATTTAACAACTAATGTGTTGCTTAAAACCCTTAGAAATTATCTCTCATGATTCTTACCTAATGTTTTTCTGTGATCTAGATAGAGAGCCCATCTGCTAGTGGAGGTCGTGGACTCTCCTTTGGTCGTATGTTTAACAGGAGAGGCGAGGTAATTGATTGATTTTCTATCTGATAAGATGTTATGTTGTCCCTGACCTTCCAATGCTGTCTATCTCTCCAGCTTATCATGTCATTAACCCAAGAGGGCCTAATCAGAAAAGCTAAACAACAAAATGAAGATCTCAACTCCAAGCTCTAAGGGCCATTCAAAGTTCCAGTGCAGCATATGCTGTGCGGTGCTGATGCCTATCCACTATTCTCCATCAGCCATACATTCCACGCCTATGTTAGTAATACTACATTAAAATTGTTGGTTGCTTTAGTTTCGCTGCATATTTAGGTTTGCTAGCTACACAGAATGCTTATTGCTGTATGAAAGAGGAAATGGCCGTATGATAATTGCTTATTTCTCTGACCATGAAGCAAGTGTAATAAATACTTTCCATCCTAATAAATCCAGCTGAAAGAACTTGGATTTTCCTTGTGAGTTCCTACTACTGCTAGACTTCGCTGCCTTGCTGCATCAGTTAGTAGATCACCAGCTTGTTATGAACTTTAGATTCTGCCACTTGTTTAGTATTGAAGACTTTGCTGTATGTGGTGCGAATCTATGACTGACACTTCAGCATGATCCTTCGATGAAGCTACAGTTTATATAGCTATAGGAATGAGAGAGAAAAACATCACATTTGCTCGCATGATATTATTACTGTGATGCTACACTTTCTTACATGTTAGGAAACCCTCCAAATTAGATCAACATATCTACTCTTTCTTGTATGCTGGTAGGCAAACCACTGAGCTCTTTAATGAAGGGACAAATAAGAGGTAAATTACAGCAATAATGATGAGATGAAATGTATATATATGCCGCCCCCCCATTTTCTGTCACAGGAGATTATAAAGTTTAATTCAGACGGTCGATTACCCTTCCCGGTAAATGTGTGTGACCGTAACATTCATTACACCAGCAATCTGGCCAACTATGCCTCTCTCTCTCTCT